CTCTCTCTCTCTCTCTCTCTCTCTCTCTCTCTCTCTCTCTCTCTCTCTCTCTCTCTCTCTCTCTCCGGTACTAACCTGTAAAGGTGGCGCCTGGCTGCAGGTACATCGAACACGAAGTTGGAGCTATGGCGCCGCAGGTGAGTCTCCCTGGCCTCCGCCAACAATCTCTCTCTCTCCCTACTAGCGCCCAATGTTGAAGACAACTACTACCGCTACTACTCCTCCAGAGTGCCGCTGCCGAGTCCTGAAGACTACCTCCTGCCCACTGCACGTGAAGTGCCTGGGAACTGCTTGCAACCTACAGGGCGGGTCAACATTATATAGTGCTGGCCCGTCCGAGAGGCTGCTCGCGCCTATGCCAAAACGTGCCAGGCCCTGGGGTTGACGCTCCACAAAACAGGCATTAAAGGCCTGAGCTAAAACCCCGGTCTGGTGCCTGAGTTTCAGGGTAGGTCGATCTTGCGAGGGCCTGAAAATGGCCCGTCGTTTTCAGGCTGGAGGCCGAAACGACACAGGGCCTGAAACAGGCCCTACCCCTACGGACCCTTAGTCTACCAGGTCGGGCTCTGTTGGGCCCGTGTGGTACGGAGTTTGCCACACTCCCCCCTCCTTGAAAGACCGAGCTTACCTTCGAGGGCGAAGCTGTCTGGTGGAGGGAGGGACCGAAGTCCGGGTGGGAGGCTGTGCAGCTTCCGTCGCTAGCCGTTCCTTCTCATAATGAGCGTAGATGTCAGTAGCGGAGGCTCGCAAAGCTGCCTGGGAAATCCATCGCGTGTCATGGGGGTCGCACCACTTGAATGTGACTTTGTACTGCATAGCTTGTTGTTGTGCTTGCGATGCGTGATGACGCGGTCGACTTCCAGATGACCATCCATGGAAGGAGGGTCTTGTGATCGTCGTCCCGGGAAGTCGTCACTCTTGGCTGGTGTATATGTGGCCAGCTTGGAGGCGTGGAAAACCGGGTGCACCGTGAGATGCAGCGTGAGATGCGACGGGATTTCGATCACAAATGAGGGGCCATCGGTTTCATCACCCTCGGCTGATGTGACAGGCCATGGTCCAAACCACTTTGGAAGTAGCTTGCGGGATACATCCTGCTTGAGTGCAAACTCTTCCGTGGAGACCCAAACAAGGTCGCCGACACGGATCGAGCATGGCACACGACGCCTGTTAGCTTGTTGTTGCATGCGGACTTGAGCCTTTTGCATGTTGGCACGGGCTTTAGCCAGGAAGTCCCTATACTTTCGAACGGAGGTGGGCGAATAAGCGGCGTCAATGTCAGCAGGCTTTGGAAAAGGAAGATCAGCGAAGATGCGGCCTTTGCGGCCACCGTGGTGTAACTCGAACGGAGTCATGCCGATCGTCGGGTGCACCGAAGTGTTGTAGGCGAACTCGATGTCGGGGAGGCTGTCCACCCAATCCTTCTGATCCGTACGGATGAGTGTGCGAAGCATTACTTGAGCGGTTTGATGTGCCCGCTCTGTCTGCCCGTCCGTTTGCGGATGCCGAGCCGAACTTGGTTTCATCTCGGTGCCGGACTCTTTCATGAGAGAGGTCCAAAATGTCGATATGAAACAAGTGTCGTGGTCGCTAACGATGTCTTCCGGAATGTCGTGGTCGCAAATCCAGCCGGTATGTAAGAGGGGTGCAAGTTCCGGAGCCGTGGCGTGGTACTTGCGAGGAAGAAATTGTGCGTACTTGCTCAAACGGTCGACGACCGTGAGAATGTCGTCGTGCCCGAAGCGGTGCCGGGGGAACGGGCCTGTGACGTCCATGGCAATGGAGAGGCCGGGTTCCCCTGGAATAGGCAACGGGCGTAACTCACCATAGGGGTTGAGATTGCGGGTCGACAAACTTCGCAAGAGTCGCAATACCGAGTGACGTCGGAAATGAGGTTAGGCCACCGGAATCGCTGCTGAAGTCTTGCGATGGTACGGTTGACTCTGAGGTGGCCGGCGAGTCTGGAGTCGTGGTACTCGCCGAGGAGACGAGTCCGTAAGCGACGGTCGTGTGGGACGCATAGTAAGTCCCCGTAAGCGACGGTCGTGTGGGACACATAGTAAGTCCTTGCCTCGTGAGTGAAGCAGCAGGTAGCCATCGACGATGTGATAGTGGCTGGCCGGCAGGTGATCCGAGGATAGTTGCTCATAGAGCGTGCCGTATTCCGGATCGGACTTGTATGCTCGCACAAAATGCTGATGAAGGGCTTCGTCGAAACTGAACGCGTGGTGAGTTACTGCACAAAGATCTGATCTTCGCGAGAGAGCATCCACGACTTGGTTGGAGAGGCCTGGGATATGTTTCGGTGTGAAGTCGAACTAAATGATGAAGTACATCCACCGAGCAATCGTGCTGCTCACCGTGTCTTGTGTCTTATGGGTTATTATCCGTTACCCAAGTGAACCTACGACGCCCGAGGAGGAAGTGTCGCCAACGCTTGAGTACCGTGACGAACGCGAGCAACTCCTTCCGCGTATCATCAATCGTGTTGATGGGAGGCACCTTTTGGCTGAAGTACTCAACCGAATGCCAGTCTACTCCGTCGTGTTGTTCCAAAACTGCACCCATGCCGTAGCCGGAAGTGTCCGTAGTCACTCTCGTAGGCAAGGTGGGATCGTAGATACTCAAGACGGGGGCGAGGAGCAACACTGTCTTCAATTTGTGGAACGAATTGCGGACTTCGTCGGTGAACGGGAAGGGCACCTGTGGAGACTGCAATCTGGACAAAGGTGCGGCGATCCGTGCGTATCCTCCGATGAAGCGTTGGTAGTACCCGACCAATCCCATGAAAGAGCGAACCTCCGTGGTGTTGGTTGGTTCCGACCAATCCTGAATGGCCTTGATCTTGTCCACAAGCGGACGAATGCCTTGTGGCATCACAAAGTGGCCCAAGTACTCGAGCTCTTGCTGTGCGAATTCGCACTTGGCTCGGTTATCCTTGTACTTGGCCATACGAAGCCTGTCCAAAACAGCACGTAGATGCACGTTTTGCTGGTCCAAAGTTCGGCTAGACACCAAGATGTCATCGAGGTAGATGAGAACGAACCAGTCCAACATGTCGCGAAACTCCGTTGTCATTGCCGCTTGGAAGGTGGCCGGGGCATTCGTGAGGCCGAATGGCATTACGACCCACTCGAAGTGCCCGTGCCGTGTCTTGAACGCGGTTTTGTATCTGTCTCTTGGATGGATCTCGAACTGGTGGTACTTGGCCTTGAGGTCCAACTTGGAGATATACTTGGCGCCGCCCAAGCGTTCGAGAAGATCGTCGATACGTGGAAGTGGGCCGACATTGTTAATGGTTTGAGCATTAAGCTTGCGATAGTCGATGCATAAGCGCATCTCCTTGTTCTTCTTCCGAACGAAGAGAACAGGTGCACCGTAAGGCGAGCAGCTAGGGTGAATCCAACCCTTATCAATGAGGTCGTCGAGTTGCGTTCGAAGCACTTCGAGTTCCTCCTCCCTCATGCGGTAAATACATCCGCGCGGAGGGCCCCATCGTCGAGGATGATCTCGTGACGAATTGGCAGATTCGGTACGATTTCGACGGGGGCTTCAAAGACGTCGCCATAGGAGTCAAGAAGTTGTACAATGCGTGGATCCGATGGCTGTTCCGCCGCTGGCTCGTCGGGAGAAGGGAGGACGTGCAAGAAACAAATGCCCATTTCCTCCACGTCGTTCCGTGCGATGGAGTTGCGAATGCTTGCCACGGAGACCACGTGACAACCAATCGAAGGATGAGGTGGTGGGGACCGTACATGGCACTAGTACCCCGTTCTGGTCACAAACGTAAACGGTGTGGCGGTAGAAGTTCATCGGGTGGTCCTCACTGCGCAGCTATGACATGCCCAAGATCATGTCGAACTTTGTGTCCAATATGTGAAAGGACACGACCTTGCGTGCAAGCGGGGCGAAGTACATGGGGATGGAGTCAATGCACCGGTCGATGGACTTGTGTGTACGACCGTTGGCCAACGTGACTTGCGTGGGCTGCGATTTCCTACGAACGAGCAGCCCAAGGCCGGCGCGGGTCATGAAATCCTAGCTGATGTTGAGTAGCTCCACAATCAATCAAGGCGTTGCAGGTCGCCTTCCCGATCTGAATGTGGACGTAGAGTAACAGTGCGTCGGTGTCGCCGTACAGTTGCGTGGCTTACTCGCGGTCAATCTCCACAATGTACTCGCGAAGGTCAATAACCGCTACTCCGTCTTCCATCAACAGATCTGGTACTGCAGCGTGCAAGTAGTTGCGCAGCTTCGGCAGTAGGGCGTCGCAATGCGGCTTCAACAAGGAACTAGATGTGGGAAGAGGCAACCATTGGAAGTCCTCCAATGTTAATGGGTCGAGTTCCTCAAGTCTAGACCACACCGACGAGTCCCTGAGTGATGTTGGTGAGGATGCTGGTTCACTTGGCGATGGTGATGAAGTCGCGCACGCATAAGACTCTTGCACATGGAGAGGTTGGTCCAACGGCGGGACCAGCTGGACAGCATAGTCTTCATAATCTTCGTGAAGACTGGCGACATACGCATGTTCCCCGGATGTGGAGGAGGTTGTTAGCAAGGCAACCGTGTCCGGCGGAGTAGGAAGTGGAGTCGCCTCACTTCCCGTGAAGCTCACTTTTTCGAGCTTTGCCGTGGACGGACGTCTTCTTTGCCTTTGTCAGGGCATTGCGACGTCGTATGCTTGGTGCTGTTGCACCAGTAGCAACAGCTCCACCTCTGGCGGATTTTGTATTGCTCCTTCGTGAGGCTGAACTTTTTCCATGGCTCATTCAGCTGTCCGGCTTCCGTTGTTGACGCAGGTTTCGCCTTGTTGTTGTTGTTGTTGTTGTTGTTGTTGCGTCATGGCGGAAGGGTGTTGACTCCGTTTCCTTCACTAGACTCGCGAGTCATCGCCTGGTCGTTCTCTTGTCCATTTCCTTGGACAGCAGCGACTTGCTGCGGCCGCGGGCCTTTACCCTTTTCCACAAAAGTCAATTGGCTTCGCCGCTCGTTGGCTGCCCACCGATTGGTTTGGATGACTTCGCGCGCCTTCTCCACGATCTGGTCGAAGTCCGTGTACAGGCTGCGCTCCCCAAGGGCCGTGCTCAACGCGTCCACTGACCGCTGAAGAAATCGCGACGAAGATGTACGAATGGGATGTCCAAATTCGGAATCGTCACTATTTTTTGCCACTCGGCTAGCCATTCGCGTGTTGGCTGGCTGCCTTGATGCATGCTGAAGATCCGGTTCACGCCTTTGCCTTGAGCATCGTCCGCCACTTCTCAGTTATGGCCTCCCAAGTGATCTTGGTGTGAAGCTTAGAGACTTTGACGCCCTCGGTTTGAGCCAGGTGGTTGAGCCACACTTGGCTGGCACCGGTGCTGCAGAGGTAAAGCGCTGAGATCTTCGACTCGGGCGGGACCATGTGGATGGAGAGCTCATTGGTAAACCCTTGCCACCAACTGATGGGGTCCGCCTTGTGGTAGTCATCAAATTTGTCGATGTTGAACTTCGGCATCTTGAATTGTTTCGACGTCACATTGTTGCAGGTCCCAGTTGGTTGCTGCTGCCATTGACACAGATTCGCTTGTAGGGAGGCTATTTGCTGGCTGATGGTCGTCGGGTGTCGGAAACTGTTCAAGTTGCCGATCATCACAACTAGGTGATCCAGCCGTCCTTCCAACTCCCGGATCGATGGATCAATGCTTGACGATGCCGTGTGCCTGTGCGGCACGTCATCCTTCTCCAGCATGTCAAGGCGGGCGTGGAGGCTCTTGAGAGTCTCCTCGTACTCAGTTATGGTACGTGCCTGCCGGGCCAGCTCCACTTGTTGCCAGTTATAAGTGAGGATGACTTGGTGCATCATGCTGGCGAGAGCTGACATAGTCTGGTCCTCTGTAGTTGGTTCCGTCGCTTCCGCCGGATCAACATGCCATGCTTGGAATGCGGCGGTATGAGCGGCTTCCTGCTGCATGAGGACAGACGCGGCATCTCTTCGAGCTTGGTTGTGGTTGGCAGCTGCGTCAGCTTGCTGCCGGCTTCGTTGCTCTTCTGCGCGTGCAATGGCATTAAGGCGTGCTGGTTCGGCTGCCGCCTCTCGTTGCTGCTCCTCTTGGACTTGCTGCATATAGGTGCCCAGGCGGGCCAGGAAAGCCGTCATGGTCTCTCCTTGCTGCCGGACTGGTGCAGCGTTGATGGTTCCCACCGAAGTCGCAGTGGAACCCTCCTGTTGGGCCTGTGGGCCCGGGGGGTTCAAACTGCACGCCTCCCGTGGACTGCCGGATGCGGCATTGTCCACCGTGGGGTTGCCCTGGGTGTCCATTTCAGAGCGGTGGGGCAGAGGTAGCTGCTGTTCTGCTGCGGCTGCCCACCCTTCCCGTGCTGCAATGCGGTTGCTGCGTCGGAGCATAAGCTGCAGTTAGGTGTACGGTGTCAATGACGTGGTACTGCTGACGTGGCACTGCTGAAGTGATACTGCACTGTCGTGACCTGCTGATGTGGCACCGCAACTGATGTGGCACTGCAACTGTCGTGGCCTGCTGACGTGGCACTGCACTGACGTGGCACTGCAACTGTCGTGGCCTGCTGACGTGGCACTTACCAAGCCGAGAAAACAGACAGGGGGCTGGGTGGGAGGGAAACGCAGACAAGCAACAAAACTGCAATTTCCAGTCCTAATCAAAAAAAAAAAAAAAAAAAAAAAAAAAAGTGTTACGATCCTGGTCAATTTCGAAATACACATTCAACTGAAAGTACAATGCCATCCGATTGCAAAAAGAAATGAATGAACTTGAGAGGAGAGAGAGGGAAAGAAGAAGAAGAAGTAAGAAAGAAGAAAAGATGATGTACTCCAGCATAGACCAATGGCAAGGCTCTTCTTCTTCGCCAACCAATCTCTTCCTCCTTATCTCCTCCCCTCTTATTCAAACAAGAAATAACAATAATAATTTTGAATGACTGAACCAGAATCAATGTTCGAATCCCACTTCTGAGGCTTCAGCCTCTTGTCTAAAGGACAACCCAAAGCAGCTATGTCGCTGCCCCACTTCAAGGTCTTCACCATGCAGCTATGACGCTGCCCACTTAGCCGCCATGCCTGACTCTGTTTCGAGCTTCCTTGATGCGGCACTACCCCCACTGGGGCCTTCCAGATGCAGCGCCTAATAAGGTGATGAAGATGGTGTCTGCCATAGCCAGGTAAGTACCCCACCACTCTCCTCTTGGGTCCCCTTCTCCCTTTTCCTCCTACCGGTAGAGCTCCACCATAGCTAAGGTGGATGCTCCCGGCTTCTTCCTCCTAGCAGCGCTGTAGTACCCAGCGCCACTCCAGCCAGCGCTCCAGCAGCATGTCACCAAACTTGCACACAGAAGAATGAGGTCGAGCTCTTGCCTCGGCCTCTTGATATAGCGGCCTGCTTGCCTCCTGGGCGGTGTTTTCCAGGCCGCTCGGCCTCCCAAGCAACCGGTACCTCCTCGCTTTCGGAGAAACATCATTGCAGACTCTGATATTGCCCGTACAGGCTCTAGACTCAGACTGCATGGACTGGTACCGGCCTAGACCTAGCCTACCGCTACTGGGCCTCTAAAAATGCCAACTTTGTCTTCTTCTGCTCGGCCTCGAGTACCCAACACATTGACTGCTGCTGGGTGCGGTACCGGCCTACCTGCTACTTGAGTGTTTTTCCGCTGCTCTAAGCACCGCGGGCCCCTGGCTCCGCTACTTGAGTGCTTTCCCTGCTGCAACCCTCAATGTCACGGCCACAGGTAAGTATCGGCCCCACGGGCCTGCCAAACAAACAAGTACCCTTGCGGGTCACACACACTCATACCGACAAGCACTCAGACAGGCACGCAGGTCACAAGCACGCACACACAGACAGACTTAGAAAACACAGCAGAATGCGGGAATCTCAGCAAGGCATCCATTCCATCGGCAGAACTTCAGAAATCAGCAGTGTTCTCAGTCTGTGTTTTGACGGGTCATTACACTACCCCCCCCTCAAGAGCGAGGTCCCTTCGAGCGAGTAACTCAATCAGAGTCCTTGCATAATGCCTCGTAGATGGCAAAGAGAGATCAGGTGTGTTCCGTAGGGGTGAGTGTAGCAGTGAATTTCGGTTGTTGTTGAGAGCTAATCAATTGCTCATATGCATTGACAACTCGCGGAGCACTCTGCAACAAGTCTTTCTTAGCAATCCAGTAGAAAGTCATTCAACGAGTGATAAAGGAAATGTACTTTGTACTGTCTGTTTCTCCCCTTTCCAATATGTTCAACAATTCTATCTACCTCATGGCCGTCATTGATTGCGCGAGGAATCATCGATTCTCGATACGGAAAAGTTTCAGGTGGTTCATACGGAAACAACTTCGATGCGTGAAAGATTGGATATATGCGCAGATGAATAGGCACATCGATCGTGTAGGAAGGACCAAAGAAGGAATCATTGTCTACTCGGTTCAGCACCTTCCATGGACCGTAGTACTGAGGAAGAAGCTTTCGTGATACGCCTTCTTCGTCAGAAAACTCAAACATCTTCAGTTGATCTAGCACGGGAGATCGTCCGTAACCAATAGTTCAAATGAAAGAAAGCAGTATTTCATGAAATGCTCGAGTAGAACAACAAAGATGAGCCGACAGAGTGAAAATTATATAGCAGCATCTGAATACCATATGTGAAGGGAAACATTCAATCGGTATTTAATGAATATTCAGTAACCCAAGCTACTTGAAATCTTCAGTCAGAGTCAGTTTGCCTCTGGTTTTCCAAATTGAACCTGCAATCAGCAGTCCTTTCACCGTTTTTACTAATAAGAAAACCGCACTCAGTGACTTGCTATTCATGTAGCATTCACCCATTCGAATTACCGAAGAGTTCCCATCAGAGGCATCCATCATTTGGCCATTCTCATTTGACCCTAATATCAGTATCAGTCAGGCAATGCGTGCTCGTTAAGAGGCAGGGATCAACACTGGTCAGTTTGGCGTCCTCGTCAGAAAAGTTGAGACGAGCCTCATCATTCACCCCTTTCCATGAGTGCAGTTCAATCATCCTCAATCGGAGGTCAGTGTTGACTAGTCTCAACAGTATTGCGCTTAAAGATGCCTTTCAGTATCAATACCTCAGTGCAGTCCGTTTCAGACAGGGAGATCTGTCAACTTTCCTTGTTTTCACCAGCTTCGCAGAGGGAACTATTCATGACCTGAGACTCTACGTGATAAGGGGCAAGGAAACTCATGAGCACTTTGAATCAGTCTGGATCTTAGCCGCAAAGTATCTTGAGGAGAGAGAACGTGAGCTCGATGAGGGTGGAACAAAGCTGATTCGCAACTTTGGGCCCAAGCTTTACACTGACTACCCCAAGCCTCCGGTACCCTTCATTCTCACGGATGACTCTAGTTGGGGAGACCTGGTTGATCTAGCCAAGAGGTACACTTCACCTGCAGCGATCGACTATTAGGCAGTGACTGAGCCAACAAAGTTCCAACATCTCATACGAGGGATCTTCTCTCAACCATATCTCCCTACACTATGGGAGGAGTTTTGTGCTATGGTTGACTTCTGTATCATGGGACTTGGTTGGAAATGCTCGGAACTCACAGGCTTTAGGTGACTCTATATTCAGAGGCCACGATCTCAGGAAGTATAGGGGCGTGGTTCAAGGCACAGGAAACACACAACAAATGAGAGATTGAGAGTACTACCCAGAGGGATGAGTGAGGACTCGACCGAAAAGCCAACAGGCTGTCACGCAGGATTTTGAATGATGTTTGCAATAAATAAAATAAATTAATTAAAACAAATCCCTTCCTGTTGTGTGCGTCCGGCTTCGAGCAAGACCCTTCAATTGCGGTCTTCGCCGGTCCCCGGTCTTAGGAACCTTTTATTTTGATTCGGAATAGCAAAGAATCATGCAAATAATGATCATAGAATTCTGATATGTCATGTATGGATCAATTTGCCAATTTTATAATTTTTGAGAACTGTGACGAGATCATCTGGGAACACAAATCATCAAGCAGAGATAATGTAAAAGAAGCGAGACTGACTGACTCGAGTGATGAAAAAGATAAGTGAGGGAAGAATTAAAGGAAGACCGCAATTGAAGGGTCTTGCTCGAAGCCGGACGCACACAATAGGAAGGGATTTGTTTTGATTAATTTATTTTATTTATTGCAAACATCATTCAAAATCCTGCGTGACAGCCTGTTGGCTTTTCGGTCGCCTGAAGGGGCTGGACTGAAAAAAGTGCGACAACTGTCATAGGCACGCACCAACATGAGAGTGTGCTGCAAGTGATCGAGGGGCTCCCAAGTAGCCTCCTCATCAGGGTAATTCAACGTACGAGATACTCAACGTGAGGAGGGTTATCGTCACTGGCTCAGCGACCAATGATGTCTGAAACGAGGAATTCCTCGTGGCCGTCCACCATGATGGGTGGAGGGCGCTCGTATGGTCGTTGATAGGGACGCAGTAACGAGACGTGGTAGACATCGTGCACACGCGCCTGACATAGGTAGTCGGGCAACTTCACACGGAAGCTGACCAGGCTAAGATGCTGTATCAGAACCGGCGGCCTGGAGAATGCGGCATGGGTCAAAGAAGCGACGTCGGAACTTGCGAAGTGTGTCCGCTTCGAGCTGTAAATGGCGGTCGTCGATAAGCACATCATCACCGACTTTGAATGGATGATCCATCCTCGATCGGTTCACACATGCGGCCATGCGATGTGCTCATGAGCGGTCGTTATGATCGGCGTCATGTGTGCAACCCAATCATCCAGCGCGAGACAACTCATGTCGGGGTGCATCTGTAACGGTCAAAGGAAGTCCGCGGGAACACGAGGGTGATAGCCGAGGTCGCAATAGTAAGGCGATATCCCCGTGGCTGGCGAAACGGCGTGGTTGTAGGCTATCTCCGCGTGGGCAAGATGGAGATCCCACTGCTGGTCGTCACAAACAATCTTTCGGAGAATATCTTCAAGAGTCATGTTCGTGACCTCGGTCTGACCATCAGTCTCAGAATGGTAAGACGAGAAGCGGAGCTGGGTGTCGTACACCTCGTGGAGTTGTCGCCAGAATCGACTGGTAAAGCGTAGGTCACGATCAGATATGATGCAGAGAGGTAAGTCGTGGTCACACACAACTCAGTCAAACACGATGTCAGCGACCTCACGTGCACTGATGGCATAGCGACATGGAACAAATCGTGCGCGCTTCGTGAAGTGGTCGACGACGACCAGGATAGCATCATGACCGCGGGGGGTAGGAGGACAAAGAGGACCGATAAAGTCCATCGAGATGGACTGCCAACGACCCTCAGGGATAGGAAGAGGCTGGAGCAAACCATTAGGTAGATGGTTCGCACTGTTCACCTCCTGACAAGTGGGACACTCTGGGCCGAGTCCTTCACAAAGTCCTTGTGCTTTGGCCAGACGTACAGGCGGCTCACACGAGCCAACGTCTTGTGGAAGCCCATATGACCGGCGGCTGTCTGGTCATGGAACTCTGCGACTGCCCGAACGCGTAGCTGTCCAGTGGAGGGAACGCAAATGTGGGGCTCTCTGGTGCCCTTTGAACCATCCCAGTAGACAAGACCGTTGTCCCCGAGAGAGTAGTTCGGGACGGTTTTGCCACTCCGAAGGATCGCATGGATGTCGCGATAGTCGGGGCAGTGGCGGTACTGAGTGCAAAACTCGTCGGTCACCGAGTGGTGGACGGTGGTTACCGAGATGACAACGAGCTGGATCTGCTCCATATTATGGTCAGGGCGTCGGGATAAGGCATCGGCGACCCGATTGGTCTCACCCTTGATGTGCTTAGTGGTGAAACGAACTCGGATAGGTAGCTCTACCCGCGAGCTTGTCGAGGAGTGAGCTTCGACTTTGTCTGAAAAGCCTGGACAACGGAGTTGTCCGTGCGCACCGTGAATGGTGCCCCGTGCAGGTAGTGATGCCAGTGCAGAGTGGCATAAACTATTGCGAGAACCTCATGTTCATCAACAATGTAGTTTATCTTGGCGGGCAAGAGCTGACGGGGGTAGAAGGCTATCGGACAATCACCTGAGCGAGACTCGACAGTGTCGTCCTCGACGATGGTAGGAGAATAGTCCGTAGAAGGCTCGTCGGTAGCTGGACGAGTAGGCGTTAGGCGGGAGGCAGTGGTTGGGGTAGCGGGTGGGAAGTGAGGGATGCGAGGATGAGAGGAAGCAACAGAGGAGGGGAAAACCTGAGAAAGCACTGCGCCTACAGCAAAGTCTGACGCATTGGTGGTAAGGATAAAATGGCAATCAAAATCAGGTAGGTGGAGAACCGGTGCAGTGCACATGTCACCGCCTTCTTGAGGGCGCGGAAGGAGTCCTCGTGGACAGGTGTCCAAACCCATAGCTGGTTCTTCCGAAGGAGGGTAGAGGTAAGGATGTAGGAATACTTAGCGTATCCCTAGATGAAATTACTATAGTAACTAGCAAGGCCTAGGAAACTGCGAAATTGCTTGGCGGATGTGGGGACGGGCCACTCCGAAATAGCAGTGATCTTCGCGTCGTCCATGTGGAGACCCTGGTCAGACACGTAGTGTCCTAAGAAATCCACTTTGTGTTGGGCAAAGCGACACTTGCTCAGCTTGGCGTAGAAGCCATGTTTGCGCAAGCGGTCAAGAACGTCGTGGAGGTGTTTGAGATGCTCCTCAAGGGTACAACTGTAGATCAGGATATCGTTGAGGTAGACGAGAATGTACTTCTCTAGGATGTCCCGGAAGATGTCGTACATCGCCGTCCGGAAGGTAGCGGGTGCGTTGGCGAGGCCAAATGGCATCACTGTAAACTCAATAGTGGTCGAAGCGCGATCGAAACACCGTCTTCGGTTGGTCCGCTGCAGCGACGCGGATCGGATGGTAACCGCTACAAAGATCAATCTTTATAAAGAAGCAGTTGCCTGCTAGGCGGTCGAACAACTCATCGGAACGAGGCATGGGGTAGCTGTTCTTAACCGTGTAGCGGTTTAGACCGCGATAATCGATGCAGAGATGGAGAGTTCCATTCGCTTTGTGAGCAAAGAGGACGGGTGCACCCCACGAGGAGTTGCTAGGTTTAATGAAACCCAGTATCAAGAGCTCCTCAAGCTGACGCTCGAGTTCAGTGGCCTCGGGGATCGAGATCTGTAGGGTGCCTAGTGGTGAACACGATAGTCAAGCACAAGCTGGATGGAGTGCTCAACGTCGCGCATCGGTGGGATGCTAGCGTACTAGAATGACAATGGGAAAACGTCGTGATACTCTCGAATGAGGTCACGAACTGCGGGCTCCAGGTCGACCGTATAGCGTGCGAGTTCCTCGGCGTCAGCATCAGTGCACGACAATGAGGTGGACTCGACGGACGACAGAGGGAGGGAAGTAGAGATGGAAGTCATGGAGATAGGAGGATTTGGATCCAGAGAGATGAGCTCGGCGTCTGGACAGGGTGGATCATAGTGCAAGAGATCCGTAATGTTCACTGTAAAGAAGGTGACGTCGTCCTGTCAGATGAAGTGGGCGAACTGCCGAGGCGAGGTGACAATGATAGTAGGAGACGCTCTGGGGGAGGGGGATCGGGCCGTGGTGTTGCAGTGGTATTTATAAAACGTACGCGATACGTCTGTCCATACTTCGTTCTAAGACCAAGAGTGTTGGTCGCCTAATCGGCCTCAGTGCTTCGGAACCGACGAGACCACGGAGTACCGAGAATCAAATCGTACCCTGTCTCCATCACATCAAAATGTGTAGAGGAGCGGTGACGACGAAACGCTGGGGGACGATCAGTCGGCTCCAAAGTGAGGAAGAAAGGGAGGTCGGTGACCGTTTGATCGAAGAAGTGTTGGGTCTTGTCATCTCCTAGGGTGATGGAGATGGGAGTTGGAGACCTTGTCGTGGGTAAGCGTGCGTCCTTCACCACACGTGGGTGAATGAAGTGGCCCTGAGAACCGGAATCCCGCAACGCTAAGTACACCCTCGTGGAGGTCCCGAGTCGTACTCGAATGATCGGGAGGGTGCGATCAGGGTAGAGGATGGCGAGAAGGCAACGCAGTGCAGCGGCATGGAGGGTGAGTCGCTCCTGACGAGCCTGGAGCATGCTCAAGTCCAGAAGGAAGGACACAACGTCCTCGTGAGTTGCAAGCTGCTCTCTGCAACGGGCTGAGCGAATGGCTCAACACGTTGGTAGTCGTGGAGAGGTAGGAGGGGAGACGGTGGTCTACGGAGGCGCAAACGGTACTGCGACAGGGGGCTGAGTGCACTCTGTCGGGCCTGCGACACTCAACTCCAGTAGCGAGAGGGGCAAACCACGACGGAGATGTCGGGAAGTCGACTACTGAGGAGGGTGCAGGTGTACACTGCATCGTGGCTAGGGGGCGCCGCAGGGATGCGAGGCGCCGGGGGGGGGAGGAGCACGACGCTGGTGGGAAAGCTCAACGTGGTGGAGGTCGAGGGCGGCGGTGTAAGGGCACTGCGAGGAGGTTGAGGAGGGACAAAGCCCTAAGGAAGGTCCTGCTGAGGGGCCTCAGGGGGTGACGCGCCAGTTTGACCAGAGCGGCTGCGTGTCCGAGAGAGGGTGGAGAGGGCGAGTTGGAGACGCTCGACTATAGGGAAAGTAGAGTCCTCCAAGTGGTAGTGGACGGCCTCGCAGAGGTCGAGGTCGTCGCTGTGGTCACCCTCGGGCGAGAACGGGGCAACCACGTCCTGCTCACCATACTTTAGCGCGCTGAAGCGGCGCGAGAATGGCAGGGACGACCGTGAAAAGGGAAACGACGTTGGGAAGTGTCATGAAAGGAGGGGGGAGCGTAACCAGTACGCTGAGGCTGGGAGGAGGAAGTGGGTTGAAGAGGGGCCGACATCCGCGGATGGGCCCTGGCGGCCTCGTAAGTCTGCGGGGCCGATGTGAAGTGATACTCGAGGGGAATGCCTGGCCCGTGGCGGTCGTCGCGCTAGGAGCGTGGACGGTCACCAGGATGGTGGGGTCAGGGGCAGCGGAGGAGGAAGCTCCACCGTGGCCACCATGTCGGAGGATGGGGACCCGGACTGGGAGCCAGGAGACGAGAGAGAGTTGGGAGAGGAAGGACGGGCAGCGTCTTGGAGTTGCCGCATGCCAGCGGCAAGAGTCGTCACCTGCGGATGTAAGGGGGCAAGGGTCGCCAGTTGCGCCTGGATGGGCGCGAGGCGGGAGGTGAGGAGAGTGTGCAGATCCCCCTAGGGCTGATGGCCCTGGGCCGCCGACACGGGTGTGAAGCTCGGTGCCGAGGTCGTCGCCACGTCGGCGGCTTGTGACACGCCGTCGACCATAGGGAGGTGACGGGCCGGGCTGGAGGGGGTCGGAGGAGTTCCGCGTGAGCGGAGATCATAGGGGGGGTCAACGGTAGAAAGCGACGGCTGGCGCTAGCGAGTCGAGCGTGGGCGCCGTCAAAGGGGGAGAGGTGATTCGGGTCCAGGGTGCCCGAATGGGAAGGGAAAGTAGGGAGAAGGGGAGATGGGAGAGTAAGGGGGTTAGAAAACCCTAAACCCTGGAAAAACCCTAAGAAAACCCTAACCGGAGTTGGTTAGGGTAGGGTATCAGTGACCTAATCAAGGAAAAGAAAATAGCAACCATGGAGGGGAGGGGGAGAGAAAATGAATAAACAGTAAAATTTCAAGAGAAAAATATAATAATCAAAATAATTAAAGAAATAAATAAGCAAAATGTGAAGAGAAAGAATATTTATTTTTTTGGAATTTTTGGCAGCATTTCCCTACYCCCSATGGGGTCAAGAATGTGCCAAGAGGAAGGAGAGACCAAGATAAGCACACTAAGTTTCAAAATGCCGCAAATGAAATATTTCAGAAAATAAATAAAGAAATAATAAGTAAATAAACTAGGCTACCAGCCGGGCCGCTCGGGTCACCCTATTTTCCTGGGCGGTCCGGCCGTGCAAGGCCTAGGGAAGGTCCCAGCCCAAAAACAAAAAAATCCAAAAAATCCAAAAAAAAAACTATGTTATGCAGAAAAATAAACTGAACAACGTTTGCCTCAGGGTCACATCGAAATTCTTTACCAAATTAAAAATAAAATTTTTAATTAAAAATATTTTTTATTTTTTATTTTTTTATTTCTTTTTGGCCCGGCCGGGCAAGTGGACCTGGGCCACTCTGGTAGCCTAGTAAATAAATAAACGAGGAGGTGGAGAGTGAAAAGAGAAAGTGTCGAATTTTTCAAAAAAATTGGTAGCATTTCGTTACCCCCATGGGGTCGAAGTGTGCCGACAAGGGTATGATACCCCTATGGGGTCGAAGTGTACCGACAAGGGTATGACTAAGTAAGATGTAGAGAGTGGGGAGAGGCGAAAATTTCGGCAGTACTTCGGTACCCCCATGGGGTCAAAATGTGCGCCGAAAGCGGAAATAACTAAGTCCTACCAGATCTAGAGATGCCGCAGAAAAAAATTCAAAATTTCAAAATAAATGAAAACAAAAAAAAAATCAGAAAATGAGAAAGGAAGTAGAGAGAAGAAGAGAATTCAAAATTTTGAAGAAATAGGAAATTTAAATAAAAAAAGAAAGACAAAAAGAAGAAAAACAGAAAAATTCGAAGTTGGGGGGGAAAGGGGATGAAAAAGTGAAGAAGGAAGAGTGAAATAGGTGAGAAAGAGAAAAAGATTGAAGTGGAAGGTGGGGGGATGGTGGGGTTGTAGTTGGGGGAGAGGAGGATGAGAGAATGGGAGAGAAAGGGATGGGAAAGGTGGAGAGGAGTAGAAGAGATTAGTAGAAGATGGTGAGTGGGAAGGGGAGGAGAGAAAGGATGGTGGAAGATGAGTGAATAGGGAGGTAGGAGGAGAGAGGAGTGGTAGAGTTAGAAGAAGTGATTAGATGGTGGAGGGGGGAGGAGAGAGAGAGGGGGGTGGGGGAGTAGGTTAGTGGGGAGTAATGATACCGAGCTCTTGGTTGGCCAAAAGCAACAAGATCACCAAGATCCACTGGATCTTGGCCTTCAAGATGCTGGCTGGCAGCCTGCTGCTGCAGCAGAAGATAATGCTGAAATAATCAAGGGTTGGCTGTGATCCTGATCAGCCACCCCGGTTGCCCTGATGCGCAGCCCCCTAGCCAGGGGGGTGTTCACTGCTGGCAAACTGCTGGTGCAGTGGTACAAAAAATAATGGCCATCATCATCATCAGCTGGGTGTGCTGAGATCTTGATCAGCCACCCAGATTGGCCTGTACTGCAGGGGTCTTCAGCTCCACAACAAGCTGCCACGTGGCACTGCATATGGCCACGTGCGCAAGTGCCACGTGCGCAGGCAGCAGCGGCCACGCGGGGGGGGTAAAATAGCTGGCACAGCACTTCTTCAACACCAACGTGCCGCACTACTGAGCCATACACACACTGTGGCCAGTGTGTTATGGCAGCAGCTACGCACGTGCATGGCCAGCAGCTGCCCAGGTTCAAACCTTGGCAGCAGCATGCATCCCGGATCTTGATATAACTAATCCGGGAGGGGGGCGAGGAGCGGCAGCGTGGCGCGTCCGTGTGCGTGTGCCGCCTTGGCGCTGACGCGCACGCGTACTGCTCACCATCTCTCTTTTCTCGCCATGTGTCACTTCTTCCCTGCTGCACCTTTCGTCACACGTTTTCCCGTTGTTTTTCTCTGGAAACGCCCGAAAACAGCCAAAAAAACCGCTGTCGGGTTTTGCAGTATTTCCTGCTGTGTGGTGTGGTGGGTGGGAGCGGGGAACGTTCCCTCTCCGATACCAGTGTGGCGGACCCACCGGGTGAGGTGCTCCGCCCGGGATAGAGATGGAGATGGAGGATGAGGGTGGAGCAAGATGGCCCAGCGCAGCTCCCACGCAGATTCCAATGCACGTACTCCAAACTGTGCGAATGTAGAATGCTCCAAAGTACAGACTCTGGCTGGTGTATACCCCAGCGGACTGACTGGACTGGACTGGACTGGCTGGTACCGACAGAGGTACTGGCCTTGACTGGACTACCCCGAATACAACACAGGCCTGTGAGAACAGGCCAAGGGGCTGGTCTCACAGGCCAACCAGAGGTCCGCTACACCAAAGGAGTGGGAAATGTTGGGCTACTCTCTTGGTGGTCATTGATCTCTTCCACCCTCTAATCTGTCTAGTCTTCCTCCACTCTTCGTCTACTGGTAACGAGACATTGTATCAGAAATCACATTCATGATTATTGGAGGCATTGTTCAGATCTGAGTTATCTTGTATTTCGACGTCTGGCGAGTATCTTACGGACCAGGTTCATTACATTTGCATACATTTCAGTTTTTTCAGTGACTCATTCTTCTCGAGCTCTCAAATGATGCTTTGCATGGTTGTAACTTAAGTGATCTCCTTCTTACATGCTTAAAGAAACATATGTTTAGTCCTTTGTCCATTGCATGCAGCATTCTTGATATCGTACTGCAGATACAAAAGCTGCTTCATACATCAAAAGCCATATCAAAGGCTTGTCAGGCGAAGGCCATAATTTAGCCTCGTTGCACAGCCAACAGGAAAGGGGTGCATGAAGGTCTCAAAAATTCAGCAAGAATTGCCGAAAGTTCCAAAGAAGTGTCCTGCCTGACAACCGGCTATTTGTGTTTACTGTCGAGGATTGCTTTAAAACAGTATGTGACAACAGTGGTGCCATTGCCTGGGATTTGAAAAAGTTAATGCGGGTCTTCTTTTGATTGGGAATGTCGTTGCTATGTTTATATTGTACCCGGATTCTCTTCTGACCCTGACATAGAGAATTTGTATGTCAAAGTCACTGTATGTGTGAGCGGATGTGAACTTTCCGTTAACAAACCTTGAGGAACAAGATCTTGTGGAGGAATGTATTAGTAGCATGAGAGAGATTGCGATGAAATTTGTCACTAACCAGATTCTGATCCTGTAAATGCTGAGTTTGGAGTCTCTTTGTGGTATCAGGAGGACAGTGCACAACCAGGAGGAGAGAGTTTCTCTTGCTAAGAGATTAAGGAGATTGTAGGCAAATTTATGAATTGAGAAGAAAATTTCGGAGAATTATTGACGTTTTATCAGGTATGTCACCGTATGTGGAAGTTGATTTCAGAAATATTCCTTCAGTTCCTGTATTTCGGCATTTCAATATTCCTGTAATTTGGCTTTTCAACATTTCACGAATATTCAATGGAAAGTGCAAGAATGAGCATCAACAGAAAATCAGAAGAGTAATGTGAACAGTTGTTATTACTTGTTAAGGATCATGTTTTCCAAGCTTTTTCTGGATCCTACCGTCTTCACCATAAAAGAATGTGCGGTCAATATTGCTGCATCTAGATTGAAAATTGCCCCGAATACACAGCTAGAATGACCGTACTTTTTTTTGGCGGAAGCAGGTAGTGAAAGGCCTTCCACGATTCAGACCCCAAATTCGAGTTTCAGGGCCAGAGGCCTGGGCCAAGACAGGCCAAGTCAGTCAGTTTCAGGAAAGTCACAGTTAGGTACCTTAGCAGTCAAGTCCAACAGGCACTCGGCGAACAGTCACATCTCAGGGGTAAAATCACGTCTCATAATGAAAAGCATACTTGCGGCGCACTTCTGCGGTGCGCCGTGCGGTGCGCATGCACTATGCGCCATGCGCAAATTTTGATGCGCTCAATTTTTTTTTTTTTTTAGGGGTGTATGTGTACACTGGGGGGGGAGCGAGAGAGAGAGAGGGCAGATCCCGTTAGCATGGCTCAAACGGCCCATGCAGGCAATCTGGAGGGTCCTTGCAGCACTAAACTGCAGACCCTCCATCAAAATCGAGGCGAGTAGTGAGTGTGAAGTAGAGCACGAGCTGGCCCAATATATCCTCAGGATTGAAGTTCAGGTCTGTGTTTCAGCAGTTATGGGTTGATCACGTAGCTAGGCAGTGTTCGTCTGCAGAGTCTGCACGTGATTCTCAGGCCTTGGCTGCACTACTCACGTAATGTGCAAATTTGCAAACTTAGAAAGAATCTATACCGCAGAATGTGGAATAATACACCGCCATATGTTTTGTCTTTTGTGTATGTGGTAACGGCCCTTAGGGCCACTGCACGTATTCCTAAGAAAACGAAAACTAGAAAAGAAAAGAAATAGTGAGCAAATTTGCAAAATTAGAAAGAATCTACCGCAGAACGTGGAATAATACACCACCATATGTTTTGTCTTTTGTGTATGTGGTGAGTAACGGCCCTTAGGGCC